GGGGGCGCGGCGGCGGGGCGGGAGCCAGCACTTGGCTGCTCCCGGCCGCATCCCGATATCCCGACTCCCTCCGCGGCGGGACCACCCAGCCCGAGGAGGAGGGAAAGAACTGAAGAGGCAAAAAGCTGCTCGCACACGGTGTGAGGGCTCCCAGGAGCAGCGGGGGTTCTCTGAGGTCTGCTACCTGGCTGTGCTGCCCCGCGCCCCCTTCTCCCCCTGCTTTCTGGGGTGCTGCAGCCATAACGCTGTTGAGATGACGGGAGCACTGCATGGGAAGGACCAGTCCCAGTGCCGCGGTGTGTCCCCACCATGCCGTTGTCCCTGTCACCACCACACGGAGCCTGGCAGAGACGGCAGGGTCCAGCCTCGTCTCTTTATTCCCTCTTCCACACAGGGCCCAACACCCTGTAGAAGGGTTTGAGCTCCCCAGGGGCAGAGATGGGACCCCAGCCCTCGGCTAAGGGAACACCCATGGGTCAGCACTGGGCAGGACACCCTCCTCTTCCTCCACTTCCTCTCTCTTCCAGGCGGACACGCTGGTGATGGCTCCTGCTCCCAGCACAAGCGAAGCCCTCGGCTGTCCCATGGGTCACCCAGAGGGTGCCAGTGGGGTTTGTGGCACCAGCTCTGGGAAGAACGTCCCCAGTTCTGGCGCCAGCACTGGCCCGGGTGAAGGCAGCTCACTGCGTGGATGAACGGATGGACAAATGCCCATCTCCAGCACAAGAGGAGATGGGAAGCACGTCCCAGTGCTTTGGGCACAACCTGCACACCAGCTGGGACCCCCCAGGATGGACGGACAGACAAACAGCAGTTTGGTCCCTAAACAGGGCACGGCAGCATGGCACGTCCTGGCCAAGCCCGGTCACAGTGCATGGATCCCGCTCCAACCTCCCCCTTCTCCTGCAAAGTCCCTTCAGCTCTTCCTATGGATCTGGGGTTTGGAAGGTCACCATGGAGGTCTCGGCAGGGACAGGCACCACGATGCAGCGGGGTCAGTACGAGGGGTCTGCCCGGTGCTGCTGGTTGTAGAGCTGCAGCTTGATCTGGTCTCTGATCTGGTTGATGAGGATCTGAGCCAGCAGGATGCCCACCAGCTGCAGGACAGGAGGAGGAGGGGAAAAGGAGAGGAAAAGGGAGACAGGAGGATAAGAGGAAGAGGAACAGGACGACAGGAGGGCAAGAGGAAGAGGAAGAAGACAGGAGGGACAGGAGGACATCACCCCACTGTCCCACAAGTGGGTGATACGGCTCCTGGCGAGATCAACATCCCACCACCCCAGACCCTGCCTCCCTGAGGCTTAATGATGTGACACGTCATTAAGGTGACCCAAATGTCCCTTCTCCCCGCGCAGTACCTGTGGGGCCGCCAGCCCCAGCGCGATGCCTCCCAGCAGGAAGAGGTTGCTGTTGATCCAGTTGACCAGGCTGTCGATGCAGCCATGGGTGTAGATGACCGCACTGGCTTCCACGTAGCCCATGGCCTGTATGCCGCGTCCACACATGGTGTTGATGACAACCTGGGGACAAAAACCACACCAGGCTGGACTGGGGGGTCC